TCCCATTGCCTCAAAATAGGCTTTTTCTGCAGCAGACATGCGATCTTGAAACATTGCCCACTCATTTCTGCACCTCTCTCTTACCTATACCAAAAATAAACAGGGGAGTAAAGTTTAGAACCCTTCACACCCGAGGCCAGCTCTCAAGCTTTCACAGCACATTTGGCAGGCTTAAAAGTTAGTTAACTTTTTATTTCCAAACATAGTTGGATATGTCACTTTTTTCTTAATCATATGAAGAGCGAGATATGTATACATTGAGAAGATAATAAAAGACTCGATATAGTCAAGTTAACCACGTACCCCTTCCCATGGTGCCTTGCCGTTTTCTGCCATACCCTGTAGAAAAAGAATGTTTAGAGCAGTAAATTCCTCATGTAACTGATCCATTTGAGGCGAAATCTCACTCATACCTGGTTTCCGAGTGAAGGAACAGTTTGATGAACAATCCATTGAGAATCTACCACTCCTATTTTCTCATGAGCGGGCTGCATTCAAGAGAAATGCAGTAAGCAAGAAAGGACAGCGATATATCTATGATTGAAGAAGGAAATGATTTATATTGTGAAAGAGAAATGCCGACTTACCTCTACGCACTTCCTAAGAGCAAAATCAAGACCCCATCCATGAACCAAATCATTCTGTAACAATGAAAGTAATTTTTCAGTTTTCAATATCAACAGGAGATTGACAATCATTTGGTGTGTGTGTGTGGGGGGTGGGGGGGGGGGTGTTACTGTACCCTTATCCTCGACTCGGATTTTTTTAATATTATAGGAACATATTGAACATTCATACGTGTATCAAGTTGCGCTATATTCATAGTATATGAAGGATTTATTAAGGGACCACAGTGTGAGTAAAAACTCGTATTCGTCTTCTTCTCCATTGTAGAGAAAACTTGCAGTGACGAGTGGACATAGCTTTTACGTTGAGTTTGAACCACTATAATTTGTGTTTGCTTTGCTCATTTTCTGATTGCTTTACTATTTTATTATTGCTCTCCAAACTAAGGATTAGAGTTTAATCGGTCACAGTTGCTTACTAAAAACAAGAACAAGAAAATGAACAAAGAAAACAAAAGAGTATACTTCATGCCTGGATCATATTCCAGACACAGCGCCATGCGTCGCGAGAAAACACGGGTGCCATGATCTCGACGAATCTGCATATGTTGGCTTTGAGTAAAACTTTGGAAATTAATTCACCTACATAACGATATTGACATCAATTCATCTACATACGCTGCACAGGGTGGCAAATGAGGATCCTTGCACCAGCCTGGTCTTTCCTCTGTTTCTCTGTGAGTCGAAAATTTAGATAGTTACTGTAAATGGCAAGAAACTAAACATGACTGGTTATGAAAACCCGAGTTTTGCCTTTCTTACTTGTGAACTTCCGTGTCATTTCGCATTCTTGTCATCTGCCATGTCATTCCACTATCTGGGGATAAACCAGGCTGCGAAATATCTAAACCATGCTTCCTCACCAGTTTTATGTATCTGCAATTACATTGGCATTTAGGTTTAAAAAATAATTCGATCAAACAGCCTATATATCAAGAGTAGGATATCAGAATTTTTGGCTCACTCCTCCGGATCAAAATTTTCCACCCCCAGGTCCTCGTCCCAGATAAATATGTAATCATATGGTGCAACAATGTCAGGGTGCAGAAAACGCTTGGCGTACCACCTTGCAGGATAAGAAATACGTTTTACATACACCAGAATATCCATTACAACTTATAAGGATGTCCATGAAAACGGAGAGAAAATGTGATTGTAGTTTACCATTTAGTTTGCTTCCGCACGCTCA